CCCCGCTTGAACGCCAGGGCAGGCCCTCATCCCGTTCTGCGGCTGGAGCACCAGAGCCAGAAACACCCCACTCTGCTCCCCAGATGGAGCAGGTGGCAGAGCAGGACGAGCCCCTACTCCCCACCCCCCTTCCTGCAGGAGCACCCAGTGGGCAGAGCAGGCCAGCCCCTGATCCCACTCCTGGCAGGAGGTCTTCTGGACAGAGCAGGACAAGCAGCAAGTGGGGGGCACAGAGCACATGTTTATGCAGCTTCCACTTTTACAGGGGGCCCTGGCCAAGAATCTGGAGCAGGTGGCAGAGCAGGACGAGCCCCTACTCCCCACCCCCCTTCCTGCAGGAGCACCCAGTGGGCAGAGCAGGCCAGCCCCTGATCCCACTCCTGGCAGGAGGTCTTCTGGACAGAGCAGGACAAGCAGCAAGTGGGGGGCACAGAGCACATGTTTATGCAGCTTCCACTTTTACAGGGGGCCCTGGCCAAGAATCTCTCCCTCTCCCCTCCCCAAAGGCCAGCTGGGTGGAGGGTGAGAAGAGACCCCTTTGCTCCTTCCACCCCCTCATTCCTCAGCTATCTACAGTCAGGGCCTATCCAGCTGTCCCATCCTGCCTCTGCCACTGCCATGCCCCAGAGAATAGTCATCCAGCCATGCCACATCCCTAGAAACCAGGACCAGAGTATGACCCTCATTGCTGTAAAGGCCTTTACCATGAGAGCTAAGCCCCTAGAACATGTGACCATAGCGGACTTCATTTAGGCACAGGTATGAGGGGAACCCCCTGGAACTACTCCAACGGAGAAGTGGAGGGGCAGAAGATGAGAAGTGGATTGGTGGGAGAGGGAGAATGTTACCATAGCAACAGAGGAAAGGGAGAATGTTACCAAGGTGACTGAGCACATGCGTCCTTCAGAGGGATAAAGAGATAAAGCTGCAATATAGACAACAGGGAGAGATGGGGAGCAAGCAACTGTTACTGTAGCAACAGAAGGAAGAGGGAAGAAAAAGATGGGGAGACTGTTACTAGGGAGACAGTAGGAGGAGGCTGTTACCAAGGTAACAGAGGGGGTTCTGTGACTTCTACTGTGGCAACAGCTATGGAAGAGGGAAAGAAAATGGCTCTTATCTTAGCAACACACATCTTTTGCCATAGCAACAGTGAAAGCAAGAGGCAGCAAAGAGAAATCTCATTGGGGGAGAGGAAATTATAGTCGGCTCACCAAACTGTCACAAACTTTACCAACTCATGCGCAAATCCCCATGCCCCACTTGTCAGCATGGTAAGAATGGAAACAACATTATATTTTACTCACCCAGAACAAATTACTCACCCTAGTCAAGAAGAATTTTTCAAGAGTGTAGTAAAGCCGAGAAGAGCAGTATCCAGGCAATGGTAGAATATATGCAGTATGATATGTGACCCCTAAAAGGCTTGGTGTTAGCAGGACAATGTGAACCTACAAATCTGGCTTTTGTCTGAAACCATTTCTCATTATTATAGCTAACACCTCAGCTACCCAAAGGAGATTATAGGGGGAAATAGGCTCTCTATGTGTTTGTGATTTGCTTTTAAAAGCACTGTGGTTGTGTCTAGACTGGCCAGTTTTTCCAGAAAATCAGCCGCTTTTCCGGAAAAAACTTGCCAGCTGTCTACACTGGCCGCTTGAATTTCCGCAAAAGCACTGACTTCCTACTGTAAGAAATCAGTGCTTCTTGTGGAAATACTATGCTGCTCCCGTTCAGGCAAAAGTCCTCTTGCGCAAAACTTTTGCGCAAAAGGGCCAGTGTAGACAGCTCAGATTTGTTTTCCGCAAAAAAGCCCCAATTGCGAAAATGGCGATCGGGGCTTTTTTGCAGAAAAGCGCGTCTGGATTGGCATGGACGCTTTTCCGCAAAAAGTGCTTTTGCGGAAAAGCGTCCGTGCCAATCTAGACTCTCTTTTCCAAAAATGCTTGTAACGGAAAAGTTTTCCGTTAAAAGCATTTCCGGAAAATCATGCCAGTCTAGACACAGCCTTTGTGTATAGTGAGTTTCATGGTTTCCCTTGTACTGTCCGCTTCCAGGAGTCCTTCATGGAGTAATACTAGAAAATGCATTTTTAAAGATAGGAAGCTGTGCTTGAAAGCTCACACAAATGGCAGGAAGACTCAGGAATAGGTGTAACATCTAAAGCTACTTTTAATTTGGTTTTGAAATGGACTAGATTTGAAAACTGTGATCCCACAGTTGGGTTGTACAGTTTAAATCTCTTTCAAGCCTTCTCTAAGCTGTCCCCTTCCAAAAAATAGCAAAAACCCCTTTGAAAGATGCTCTGTAGGTAATTTTAAGAGAGCAAAACACCATCCTTATAAAAAAAATACCCTGGCATCTTTAATGTGCATGCAGAAAGTTGCATTCAAGAGATCTACACTTGTATGGTCACTTTACTTGGGTTTGACTGCTTTGGGTAGATGTCAGGTCTAGTTAATCCAATGTACTTTTAACCTGTGCTTCCAGTGGGTCTATTTCAAACATGATGCTCACTCCACTAATCCGTTTCTTCAACAATGGGTTTTATATTTGATGTCTTAAGTATTTTATACAAACCTATTTTTTAATACGCTCAGACATATCCCCAGCTAGATCTAGCTCAGCTATTTTCCCTCTAAACAGGCATATAATAAAACAGTCTTCTGCATCTCTATAGATTTTTTTGTACTTTGGTCTAAGTTACCCCAGCCCGCACGCTCCTTGTCTTACAGTGCTGTCTCGTCTAATTATGCTCCAGTACTTTTGCAGCCTTCCAAGCAACAGTGCTGCAATACGGAGTACTGAAGGCAGAAACCAGGTTATTTGGTTATTGTTATTACTACTTCAAACCAGAGTGCACTGCAGCACCCCCAGTGCCAGGAGTTTTAGCACCTGTGCTTCTGAGCCAGCTCCGTGCAAAATGTTAGATGCTGTCTCCAGACATTGAATTCATCATCCCCAGGCAAAAAACAATCACTGAACTGAACTGAACGGAGTCTCAGGTGGGATCTTCAAAGGCATTTAAGCCTCAGGTCCACAAAGATATTTAGCCTCCTAATTGCCACTTGAATGAGTGGGGCCTAAATACTTTTTGGCTACATCTACACTTACAGCTTCTTGCGCAAAAACTCTTCCAGAAGAGTGTCTACACTGGCATGTGCTTTTCCGCAAGAGATGTGCTTTTGCATAAGAGCATCCATGCCAGTGCAGATGCTCTCTTGCGCAAGAAAGCTCCGATGGCCATTTTAACCATAGGGCTTTCTTGCGCAAGAAATTCATGTTGCCTGTTTACACTGGCCTCTTCTGGCAGAGCTCTTGCACAAGAGGGCTTATTCCTGAGCGGGAGCATCATAGTTCTTCCACAAGAAGCCCTGATTTTATACAGTAGAACGTCAGTTTACTTGCGCAAGAACACACGGCCAGTGTAGACAGGCAGCAAGTTTTTGCACAAGAGCATCTGCTTTGGCGCAAGATCACGCCATCGTAGACAGTCTTTGAGACTGGGCTGCTCTGGCGCAAGATCACGCCATCGTAGACAGTCTTTGAGACTGGGGGCGTAAGTGGTTTAGCACAGCAACATTCGACCACGGCTAGTGCGTGGGCCGCATGAGTGACCCTCCTTCAGCTTAATGGGTGGCAAGGTTGTCCTTACCAAGGCCATCTCCCAGGACAGGGTGTTTGCTCACCGTGCTTATGTACCTACAATTTGTGAGATGAGCTAATTGAACCACTTTGATTGGATGCAGAGGGAGCACATGGCTCTCACAGTTAATGTTGTATGCAGTCAGCAGGCCCCTCACTTCACATGCTTTTGCTTTACATGCGAGTCACTTTAGTAAGGCCAGTAAGAAAAGAAAGAAAAAAAAAGTAAAAAAATCCACAATGCGGACAGAACCCAGCAGAAGCTGGCACCCCTGCACCGGGGCGACAGTAAATATCTTGTGGGCCACACATGCCACCCTGATGCATGCAGCCCAGAGGTGACAGGTTACCCACCACCAGCCCCAGGGACTTAGTTAAACTTTTGCTAACTCACTGAGCTGAATTTAAAAATCTCAATGACCATCTTTCCTCTTCTCGCACTTAGGGTTAACAACCTACTGTTGCATTGAAATGTGTCTATTTAGGCCCACCCTTCCCCTAACAAGCATGAATAAGAGGATTAACTCAACCTTCTGTTGCATTGAAATGTGTCTATTTAGGCCCACCCTTCCCCTTGGAACACTCCTGTAGAAACTAGACACTTTGAACCTACGTTCTTACCTATAGTTTCAGAACATGTTTTGTGTAGAGGTGCGACCAATGGATTAGGAGTCAGGACACTCGTCTTGACTTCCAGTTCCACTACGCAACAAGCCTCAAGAGCCCAGAGCTTCAGAGGTATTTAGAAATCAATGGGGCTGTGTCTACACTGGCACGATCTTGCACCAAAGCAGCCACTTTAGCACAAAAATATGCTGCCTGTCTACACTGGCAGGGAGTTCTTGCGCAAGAACACAAACGTTCTAATGTGTGAAATCAGTGCTTCTTGTGCAAGAACTATGATGCTCCCGCTCAAGAATAAGCCCTCTTGTGCAACTGTTCTTGCACAAGAGGCCACTGTAGACAGGCAACATGAATTTCTTGCGCAAGAAAGCCTGAGGGTTAAAATGGCCATCGGAGCTTTCTTGCACACGAGAGTGTCTACAGTGGCACAGATGCTATTGCGCAAAAGCACATGCCAGTGTAGTGGCACGGATGCTATTGCGCAAAGGCACATGCCAGTGTAGATGCTCTCTTGCGCAAATCCTTTAACGCAAGAACTCTTGTGTTAGAGTATTTGTGCAAGATCACGCCAATGTAGACGTAGCCTGGGAGTTAGGGGCCTATATACCAGAGAATCAGATCCTATTTCTTTAATCCTGTTTTCCTGCCTCAGCAGAGTAAGGACATTGAACTCTGATGTCGGTACAATGCTTTGATCTTAGCTGATGCAACACACTATACAAGCGTAAAACACAACTTCTGCTTCAGGAGCCAGAAGAATGAGGAACATTTAAAGCTCTTCATTGATTATAATCCTGTGAAAGACTAAACTTCCTACAAACAACTAAACCTCTCTTGAAATAGCACTAGCCCCCATCTAGATGCTTGTCTTTGCAGTCACACCATGCCTTCTCTCCACTGCATTTAATACAGGATTTTGCCTCCAGGAGTTAAAACCAATAATCTGGGATTGCTAATGTGTAATAAACATTCTTCAAATTAAGGTAAAAATATTTCAAACTCTCTGCAGAGGGGGATGTGGTGAATTCTCTAGTAGCCCCTAAATCCTCCCCGCCCCAGCGAGCAATATCATTCCATCTTAGCTTTCCTCTAGAGTTACTCACAGACAATTCACCATCATATTCATCTTGATGACCTTCAGGGGCAGTGAATTCCACATGCTGACTGTTCTGTAGTGCCATTAGAAGAGTTTAAAATTACATCAAGTCCCTCATTAGAGGAACTCCACTCACAGCCCTTCTTCCTCAGTAAAACCACTTAAAGAGAAATTAATCCAGGTGATTTGGTTCCCAGGACCCACTGCTATAGACATTGCACACTTCAATCATGAGAAAGCCTACACAAAGGCACTAGTCTTGCTTGCAGGAAACTACATGCTGCCTAACGGAATATTGGGTCTAAATCTCTTGCACTCTAATTTCTGCAGGCTTCCAGGATGTTCCCCACTCTAGGGCTATGTCTACACTCGTGGCTTCTTGTGCAAGTATGGCTGTTCTTGCGCAAGAATCTGTAGAACATCCACACTGCCCGCCCGCTCTTGTGCAAGGAAATTTACAGTACAGCATGGTAAGAGAGGGCTTCTTGAGAAAAGAGCATAGCTCTTGCAAACAGGCGTAAGCCCTCTAGCACAGGAGCTCTTGTGCAAGCGGGCAGTGTGGATGCTTGGCAGGGATTTCTTGCGCAAGAAAGCTCTATGGCTAAAATGGCCATCAGAGCTTTCTTGTGCAAGAGAGCGTCCACACTGCCACAGGTGCTCTTACGCAAAAGCACAGCTCGCACATGGCAGCGTGGACGTCTTCTTGCACAAGACTTCTTGCACAAGAATCCTTGGGCAAGATGTTCTTGCGCAAGAAGCTGCGAGTGTAGACATAGCCTAGTTGTCCTCCAACTCTTCCCCAGATTTGAAGGCTTTGATAACCCTGTAGTCTGGTGTTTCTTAAAGTTTAAGACTGAGAAACACCAAACAATATTTTTTTTTAGAAAATGAGGAACACCAAGGAGCAACAAAAAAAGGGGGGGGGAGGAAGGGAGAGGAGTTTTGGGCAGCCGTTTTGAACCCTGTTCTCCACAGTACACCTGTTTTAAAAACAAACAAAAAACCATCCCTGCTGTAGGCGGACAGCCCTATAACTGGGCTTAGTGATTGCTACTCGCTTGCGCTGCCGCAGGCACAGTAACATTGCTTCTGCTGAAATGTTGATCTTGCCATTCAGGGATACAGCCAAAAGACAGCACGCTCCTCCTACGAGGGCACAGCCTTGGGAGCAGGACATGACGGCCCTTCCTGATGGGAGAAGAGGTATAGGTGAAAGTCCTACTGCCCCAGGAGGTACAGCCACCCTTAGCTTTGTTCAGTGTTTCTCTCAAGCAGCGGCGGATGCGGTCACTCCCTGGAAACAGGCAGGCAACAGCTCGATGGAAAAAGCCAACCCAGTGTGTCTTTTCTAACTTATTTATTTATGAAGTGTGAGGTAATGAAGAAAAGTGCTAAATCCGACCACAGTGTTAACTCTAACGTTTCTCAGAAGGTCAGGTAGGAGCCAGACAACTCAGGGGCTGCTCTGTGTGTCTGCTGCAGAGTGGAGGTCCCAGCCACACCCCCTTCCACGAAAGATGAAGGCTCCTGGTCCTGCTCCCCCACCCACAAAAACACCGACCCCGCCTAGGAAGGCAGGGCGAGTATTCACAGCAGAGGGAGATTCGTGGGGAGGTGAAATGAAGTTTGGCCAGCTGAACAAATGCAGCTTCCCAAGGGTGTCGCTGCTGGTTAACAGACAGAGGGACTCACGTCTCAGATGCTTCCAAGAGGAGCATCAACCCTCCCCGGGAAAGACAAAGTAACTCCAGGTAACAGTCAGGCCCCTAGGATTTTAAGCAGCACCACTCCTGAGAACCTGCATTTGGGGAATACAGGAAGGCCAGGCAAACAGGGCAAGTTTCACCCTGATCCTCTGTGAAAGGATCATTATTGCCCTGTCTACAGCCTGAGGAGCAGGGATCTTCCCAGAGTCTCCTATCTGGAAGCAAGCAAATAAGAACCTAGGACCTCTCGGAGCCTCCTAGCAAGGCCCCAGGGACACTTCCAGCCCTTCCCCCAACACACCTTCACCAGCCTGCAGCAGGGACAACGCCCCCAGAACAAGGTTTTCAAAGACAAGTCTTAAACAATACTCTCCAAAAAAGTTGTACAAAAATACAGCATTAAAAAAAGGTCATCCCGGCTACGAGTCAGACAGTTACAGCAGCAGTTTCTAGAACACAAGCCTCAAGACAAGCTACTGTGTAAAGTGGTAAGAAAGTGAGGTATAGTCCATTTCAAGCTGGTCTCGGGTCTTCTGCAGCAATAACGTTTAGCCATCCAGCCCTGGGAGAAAGAGGATCTTTAAGAACAGCCCTGGCCCCTAGAGAGCAAAGTTTCCCCATCCCCACCCACTTTGGGGCATGCCCCCATTGTCACTGCTTGTAGAGAGATGGACCCTGAACTGGGACACTGGATTGCTACGCCCTGGAGCGGAACACCCTGGCCGATTGGCAGTGGAGACTCTGTCGAAAGCAATCCGATTATTGATTTGAAGACACTTCTGGAGGGGATGCAGCGGGCCCATGGTCTCAGCCCCACTGATGTGGAGCAGGATGGGGAGATTGGAGAGGTGGGCCACTATGGGCTGGTCAGGGAAAGGATGGGGAGGGGAAAGGCAAGAGCACCACAGCAGAGGCACCTGGGCTGGGCAGCAGAATGGGGGAGGAGGCAGGGGAGGGTGTCAAACTTCAGTGGACCATGGCAACAGCCACCATATTGACCCAGCCACCCAGTGATGCATGTATGAAGAGAAGCCACAGAAGGGCTGGATTCAGGTCCTGTCTGAATCAGGAACCTGCCATCATTATTAGGCTTCTGGTTGCCCACTCAGGCCTGTATTTTGGAGAGTGGCCTCAGTTTGAGTGTCCAAAATCAGGTACCTGAGGCCTGAAGTTCAAGGCGCTAAGGCAGCTCCAACTGGCCTCAGCGGGCTTTGTTCCACATCCCTGTTCGAGGCTCAGCATCTCTGGACACCCTCAGAACGAGGCACCCAGAACTCACGGGTCCCTTTTGACCATTTCAGCCCAAGCAAAGTCCAGTGCCTACAAGTCAGGTGCCAAGTACCAGTGTCCCCACAGGCTAAGAATTTGCCAGCTGTGGGCTAAGCTACTCCCTACTCTGTTAAAGGAGGAACCCGAGACCAGGCCTGGATAAGGGAGACAAGAAGCTCCCCCGCTTCCTAGAATGCAAGCCATATTCGTGTGCGCTGGCTGCAGTGCATTCTGGGATCTGTAGTTTGGAGGGTTCACGCTAACCAAAAAAATGTGCAAATCAATATTGGGAAAGGTGTCAAGTCTGTGGTAGCTAAAGTCCCTTGAGATGGGCAATTCGCTTCAGCAGCTGATGCTGTCTCAGCTTCAGCTGCCTTTTCTCTGCAGCCATCCTCCGCTCCCCAACAACGAGCGACTGCAGGTACTCCGCAGCTTTGCTCAGGATCACCACTTTGGGGGTCTTGGGACAGTTAGCCAGACCGGGGACCTGGTCCCTCAGGGCCTGGAAGCGGGAGCGGAGATCATTTCGCCGCTTGCGTTCCAAGTAGTTGTGGTTTTTCCTCTTAGCCATGTCCTCGCTGTCCGAACTGGGTGTGCTCCCGGTTTTGGGCAGGCCAGGCTCAGAGTGCTCTGCACCTTGCTCCGGGCTGCTCAAGGGCTCCTCTTTGGGCTCCTTCTCCAAGGCATCCTCCTGGGAGCAGGTGTCGGGGGGAGAGCGGGCAGCGTAGTTGTGCTGTTGCTGGTGGATGGAGATGTGGAAGTGTTTCATGCAGGGGTCCAGGGGGTCTGCTCGCACCGTGATGGTGACCGGCTTCCTCATACTGAGCGATTGTCTCTTTTCCACGGTCACCACATCAATCTCTTCACCCTCTATTCAAAAAGAGGCAAGCACAACAAGCCATCACTTGGAATCACTGGACTAGTCCCTTCAGCAACCCCCTTGCCCAGCCTCTTAGAACAGCACAGTGAGATGCCCAAACAAGAAGAGACCAGACAGTTGTAGCACCAGACATGGGTCTCCAGAACCTCGTTACGGAAGAGAGATCCTAGAGCCATTCAACTGGATTACACTCACCAGGACAAAAATCTTACTCCAAGTCCTGGCCTTCACCACATCCTCTGGCAAGGAGTTCCACAGGTTGACTGTGCAGCCAAGTGAAGAAAAGCTTCCTTTTGTTTTAAACCTGCTGCCTATTGATTTGTTTGGTGACCCCTAGTTCTTACTGTAGGAAGAAGTAAATAACTTTTCCTATTCACTTTCTCCACACCAGTCATGATTTTATAGACCTCTATCATTTCTCCCCCCACCCGTGTCTCCTCTTTTCTAAGGTGAAAAAGTCTTTAATCTCTTTATATGGGGACCGGTTCCAAACCCCTCATTTGTGTTGCCCTTTTCTGAATCTTTTCCAGTGTCAGTATCTTTTTTAGATCTCTCCCATATCAACTAATCCCAGTCACAGGAATGAGATTTCTTGCCTTAGCGACACGCTCCGGGTTCCCAGGAAATGGGAGGAGGGTTTCTTACTGTTTCCACTGCAAAACTCATTATGAGCAAAGACGACCCAACAGGAAAGAAATTCCTGCACCCCCAGCTCCCATTGCTACACCCATCCTCTCCTCCCCCAGCAGAAAGGAAGGGAGCAAGAGCCTTAGTAGCTGGGGACAGAGTTTAAAGATCTTCCCCTTGCTCCTGCCTGTCCGGTTCTTTCCTGGCCCATTGGAATTGTAAATGAGGGATCTGGGGCCTATGTTGCCCTTTGTTCCTGCTCACTGCAGCCTCACACTTTAGTGACTTGTTACTTTTCACAAGTTATAAATCCTATTCACCTCCCCACCCTGGTATTCTCCTCTCCCCATTCAGCTAAAGATTTCAGGGAGGGGAGTGACAACCCTCCCCCATCACAGTGGGGGGGGGGGAGGGAGGGAGGAGAACCTTTTGCCATCAGGTTCAGTGAACCTCTCTGCCTGCCACCATTTAACATTCCTCCCCACACCATCTCCAAACATGTTCAGCCCAAAGAACCAGAGGGGAAGTTACCAAAGCCCTAAACAAAAGACAAAAAACAAAAAAGGGAACAGACCTGGCTCCTTAAAACGCCACTTTAGCCATCCAACTTATAGGGCTACTATAAATCCACTCCTTGCCCCTTGAAGTTTTACAATCTCTTGGGAAAGTCCTGGAGAAGCACACATCCCATGCTTGTGACATTCCAGCTGCTTTAGCAATACTTAACAGTAGCAACGCCTTTCACTCAAGCAACATACTTCTCTCAGACAGGTAGGCATGCTTTGTGCACCGGAGAGCGTGGTAACAGAGCTCTTTAATATACTCGCCCAAGATCATGCAGCAAGTCTGACAGAGTGGGTCTCTGCCCACAAAAGCTTATGCTCCAATATATCTGTTAGTCTATAAGGACTTATTGTTGTTCTTAGAGCTTTACTCTGAGGGTCTTTACTCTAAGAACTGGTCTGTCTTTGAGCACTTGGGCCATATTTCTCGTGCAAAGAGATTACTGGCAAGTCAGAGGAGAGGTTAGGACTCTTTCTTGCTGTACGCATTAGATTGTACTCTCCCCCATGGCCCCTGAATGCTACAGAGATTATCCATCAGAGCTCATGCACCATTTGGCGATCAGCACCGAAGGGATCTACAGGTCTAGAATTTCTACTTTTAGGTCACACCACATTTTTTCCTGCTCCCCGCCCCCCAGGCCAGCCTCCTAACGTTCAGTGCTATTTCCTGGTTGCTTTCTACTTTGCACTTTTTATGCCCCTTTGTCAAAAACTTCCATTGTGTGGACAATATTATCATTTCCCCATTAATAAAATACTGACTGGTTGGGCCCCTCCTCCCAGCCAGGTGGCCATTGGCTGCTTCAGCAGGCACTTGGAATGTTGCTGTGGCCAAGCTACCTCATTGGTCACGGCCTCAGTCACTCTCAGAGGCCCCCCTCTCATTGTTTGCTGCAATCTGTTGCTTTTTGTTCTGGGACCATGTGGCCTGGGGCGTGAGTACTAGGGCCCTGGATTCAGATCAGGTAAAGTGCAGGTCAGCAAAGTAGCAAGATTAAAGTGGATAAAATATATAGTGCCCCCCCCACTAATTGAGATTAAGCCCATTAGAGCCTGCAGCCTCTTTACTAGCTCATCATCCTAATGTAATTAAATCTTAGTCCTAAAGGTGCTTCTTGGCCCAGCTAGCCTCATCCCTGCAATGAGTCAGAACCAAGTTACTCATCACTGGCTCATCTCAGTCAAACTAATATTAAGATCACGATAATGAGGTGTCTGGCCCTGCACCCCCTAGCTTGTGTCAGCACTTCAGTCACCCCTTATTTTCAGAAGTCTGGCATTTAAAGCTTGCCTGGAGTTTGTGTACTAAATCACACCTCCATCTGCTCACTTTGAGAAGGAGCGGGGGCGGGGATAGCTGGTGTCAGATATTGTTGCCTGCCATTAAGTGACAAATTTAAGCCAAGGTTTAAAAATAAAGAATCGCATGCATTAAACTTCCAATCCTACAGATAAAGATTCAGACTGAGTTTTAGCAGCTTGATACATGCCCCTCTTGCCTTTATCGCTCTTCACCTTCAAGCCCCATTCTAGTATTTGCACCACAATTTTCCTGTATTTGACACTTGCTAGGGACAAGGAGTCAGGGCCCTTTTGCAGAAGCAGCACTGGAACTCTACCAAGAACTAGGAGATGCCTCTAAGTTGCTTTGTCGTTTTCCTCACATGCCACCACGGGATGTCCCCAGAAGACAACTGTTTGGGGACAGTCAAAGCCCACCCAGAGGTTTTGCCTTGTCCTAGGAGGCTGCCTGAGAGGCTGGAAGCAGGGGAGTTCTGGGATCAGTTGAACCTAGGTGGGGTGCTAGAATTTAGAAACCAAGCAGCCAGAAGAGCAACATGGCTGCTAGGGGAAGCTTTAGAAGAGGCTCTCCATCGAGATGCCAACTTCCCTGTGCAGCTAAGCCTCCAGGCTCAGGGAGGTTTCCCAGAGGAACCCAGCGGCTCCGGCAGCAGGAGAGAAAGGTTAGAAAAAGGCAGAAGATTCCGCCCTCTAAGTCCCTTCAGGGACCCCCTCCCCTTGCCGGGGTCCCCCCCCAGCAAGAGTCCTAGAGGCGAAGACTAGTCAGCTTCCCTTTGTTCTCGGGCGTGGGCTCGCCACTCGCTCGCAGACACAACAAAAGGAGGCTGGGCTTCCAGGGAGCCGGTCCCACACTGTTTACTAACACACACGTGTAAACGGGTGCGCCGCCAGCGCAGCAGTTGGGCCAGGCCGGCCCCTGGGTTGCCGGGCGCGGGCCCCCACCTCGCTGCAGAGCCAAGGGGACGCGTTGGGTTTGGGAGCCCCTTACCCGAATCGCATGGCCTCTCGGCTCCCGGGGCGGCCGGGGGAGGCTTGGTCTCCGCCGGGAGGCAGGGGAAGACGGCAGCGGGGTCCACACACTCGCTCACCGGGCTGTTGAACCCCGCGTCCTGGGCCAAGGGGGACTTGTGCGGATTCGCCCTTGGCGCGCCCGTGGAAAGTTTCTCGGTCATCACTTTCTCCAGCCGCTCCCGGGCGGAGAAGCCGCTCCACATACAGTCCTGCAGCATGAAGGCGCTCAGGTTGCCCAAGATCGCCCCGGGGCCCAGGAGGTATTCCGGCTCCTCCCCGGGCAGGCAGCAGTGGGAGAGCCGGTCGGACCTCTCCCCTGCCCCGGGGCAGCAGGCTTTGCCCCCGGCGGGGCAGGGGGGCGCCTTGCGGGGAGTGGCCACCAGCTCGAATTTCTTCCAGATGTCTTCGCTGGGGGCGGTGGAGCGGTAAAAATCCTCCTCGGAGTCGTGGTCGTAGAAGTAATGCTGGTGGGAGTCGAACTCCATCGCTCCGCAGGGGCCAGCCTGCCGAGCCCAAAGCGCAGCGTCAGCGGCGAGCACGCTCCGAAGCCCCCTCCCCGAGCTGGGCAGGGGACACCCTCCCCCCACCGGCCGCCAAAGTGACCAGCCCA